TATATGTCAGCAGCTTGGTGGGTGGGTCGGGTGCCACGGGAGAAATCCCCAACTCATCAAAAACATATTTATTTAGAGAGGTGTTGATTCGGTTCACCATCGCTGCTGCAAATTCAAAGTCCAAAGACGGAAGACTCGGCCTTCACCTTGGATCATCGGGTAATTCTCTCTTTCTTCACTGGTATTCTCTGTATAAAAAACCCAGAAAACTTGTAGCCTAAGATATCTAATTGGAATCGTGGGAAGTTTAGTAGCTGAGAAATGGGGATGTGGGTTATCTTGCTTGATCAAAGTTGGTGCGAGTAAACGGGCTTGTAGTTTGGTTGGTTAAGACCATTTGTCCGAGATTCCGGGTTCAAATCCCTTTCCCCACTATTGGTTTTATCAATTTGTGGAATTGGGTTGATGGGTTATGTTATGTTGTCTGATTTTATTTTATCTTCATAGAAAAAATTTTAGAGAAATTTTATAGACTGTTGAGCCTTCACTGTTAATTTAAAAAAAAAAACATCCAGCAGTATTCACTTTAACGAAAAATCACATTTTTACACTAAAAAGTCAATCCTGCTACTTTTCACTTTACCTTTTATTTTGTCGTTATAGTTAAAACTCAAAGTTTTCAAACCATTTTTATTAATTTCCCTTAATTTAAAAGGATCAAAATGTGGGAATTTGTTACTCAAAAGTTCAGAACTTGGGGATTTTTGGTGCCATTGAAGTTCAGTTTTGCAGTGGTACCCTCTCTGCCATTGTACAACATGTCCATCGAGTTTCGATTAATCTGTCCGTAACTGTTGGATTTGTAGAATTGCTTGGACTAGTTGCTTTCTCTTTGCAAATGGAGCACAGCGCCAAAAAGGACCTGAATCTAGAGAAGAAGGGACTGCTGCAGAGTGACGAGTTATATCAGGTTACAACGCCGTTCCCTCAACTTTCGCTTTGCCTGTTTCTGATTAAATTTGTTAAATCTTGTTTTTTAACAATGTCGATGTGACAGTATATCTTGGAGACTAGTGTGTATCCACATGAACCGGAGCCTCTCAAGGAGCTTAGAGCTGCCACCGCCAGCCACCCGAGGTTATGATCCTACATATCTTAGCAGAACTTGTTTTAAGATTGCCTGCTTTTTAAGTTCATTAAGCTACCAAGCCAGGCTAGAACTTGGCATACACTTCGTCTAAGCGAGCGAAAACTGTCGAGCATTTCTTGATCAAACTGTCGAGGAGGGTTTTTAATTAGCTAGTTTGTTTTCAGGGCTGAGATGGCTACTGCACCAGATGCAGGTCAGTTAATGGCCATGCTGTTGAAGCTAGTAGATGCAAAGAAAACTATTGAAGTTGGCGTTTTCACCGGATACTCTCTCCTCCTCACTGCTCTTACAATTCCTGACGATGGCAAGGTCTGTCACTACTAATATCTGAATCTGCTCTTCCGGTCGCGTTGAGCTCATAATTTGTTGTACTGCAGATTGTAGCCATAGATGTGAATCGTGAGACGTATGAGCAAATAGGGCTTCCAATCATAAAGAAAGCCGGTGTTGAGCACAAAATCGACTTCATTGAATCCCAGGCCCTACCGGTTCTTGATAAGCTACTAGAAAATGCAAGTATTTTACGTTTCAAACCATAATCTTCAGCCGAAATAAGAAAAACCATAGTTGTGACATTTTTCGCTTTCTCGTGGTTTTGTTTGCAGCATGAAAACGAAGGAAGTTTCGACTTTGCTTTCATCGATGCCGACAAGGTCAACTACTGGAACTACCATGAGAGGTTAATGAAGCTGTTGAAGGTGGGTGGTATAGTTGTCTATGATAACACCCTCTGGGGAGGAACGGTTGTAATGCCTGATGAGTTGATTCCGGAGTTCAGGAAACCAGGCAAACAGGCGACAATCGAGCTTAACAAGTTACTTGCAGCCGATCCTCGTGTCCAGATTTCACATGCTTCTTTGGGTGATGGGATCACAATTTGTCGTCGACTTTACTGATTCTTTCTTGAAAGATGTAGCCTTACATGTCTAAAGCTCGGGGACTTGGCAATCTCCCTTGACAATTGGAGATTTGATATTTATGTTTTAAGAACTCAAAATAGTTTCAATGAAATAATTTATTGTTGAGTGATCTCTGCTTTGTCTAAGTGTTGTTAATAAACAAGATTATGCACTTAATTTTTTTCACGGTTAAGAATAAATGGAGAACAAATATATCGATGTACTAAAAAGAAAAAAAGTGAAGTTTTTTGTTAGCGGGGGTATATTAGTACTTTTATATCAATTTTTTTGTTATAATTATCAAAAATTTGAAAGGATGACTATAATTCTATATGAGGCATAAATTTTAGTTATTTTTCTAAATTTCCCTATCCAAATTATGCAGGAAACTCCCTCACAGAATGCGATGATGAAATTCTAGGAATCGGATTCCCTTCGGATCCAATAAAACTGAGCCTACTGAGCAGGCGATCCGGGCCGTTGAAATTTGATCTAACAGTTACAAACAGAGGACCCTCTAAAAGTGATAATAATTTTAGCCGTTTAATCAAATTTCAACGATCCGGATCGCCTGCTCAGCAGGCTCAGTATATATGGATCCGAAGGGGATCCAGTTCCCAACTAATGCTCCCTTTCTATTTGATAGACTATGCAGTGAATGGAATTGCAAAATTGAATTAATAAACTTGATGAGTGTTTTTATATTTATAAGGATAAACTGCTGTTTGACATTTTGAACTATTACTCAAGTTGAAATTGACCTTTTAAACTATTTTTTGGTAAATTAACCTGAACTATTTGAAATAAGCCATTTTGGTTAGAAAGCCAACTTGTTAGCATGTCTTGTGGTAGTTTCTTCAATTACAAAATGTTAGCAAGTCTTCTGTGGAACCTTCTTATGCTTCACCCAGATCAATATAGGGTTTAACAGTTTTACTGTGCAGGGCTTTCATGAGCACTTCACTGATTCAGGTCAGTTCATGGCCCTTCTCTTGAAGCTGGTGAATCCGAAAACGGCAATTGAAATCGGAATTTTTACCGGCTACTCTCTTCTCCTCACGGCTCTCCCAACTCCTGATGACATACCTCTCTCCAATTCAGCTGATATATGTTTACCTACAACAAACATTATGCCTTGCAGATTACGGCCGTAGACATCGACCGAAAAGCATACGAAATGGGGTTGCCAAGTATCAAAAAAGCTGGCGTCGAAAACAAAATCGACTTCATTGAGTCCCCAGCTCTGCCAATTCTTGATAAACTGTTACAAGACGTAAGCTGAGAAACTCTGTACTCTTAAGACTTTAGAAAGTGATAACCGCACATTCATTTTCTCCTTCCGTGTAACAGGAGTGTGCAGCAGGCGGAGAAAAGATACGTGTGGAAATCACTTCCCTAAACTTTGTTTCTGACTCTTACCTTTTCAGTTTCTTGTATTTGAAGATTGGTAGTTCTTCGTGCATATTTTTCTGCAGCCAGAGAAGGAAGGGAGTTTCGACTTTGCTTTCGTTGACGCGGACAAGAACAACTACTAGAATTACCAAGAGAGGCTAATCAAACGGATTAAGGTTGGCGGGATGGTAATGTACGATAACACACTCTGGGGAGGAACAGTTGCTTGGCTGGAAGAGGATGTTCCGGAGGCCAAAAGGGAGTGGCGGCAGTGTGCAATTGAGTTAAACGAATTGGTTTCCGCTGACACTCGCGTCGAAATTTTCAAGGTTACGATGGGTGACGGGATCACAATATGGCGTTTGCTGATCAAGTTAAATAAAATGCTTGACGAACAAGTATTATCCATAACTTGAGTTACATCTATAATTACTACTATCAGAGAACATACACTTTGTGTAGATAAACAATTTCTCTTAATAAGTGTATTTTTTTTAATATTACATAATTAATGTTTTGTCCTCCTTATGTAAATATTATGTATCAAAAGTTAGGGTAAAATAGGAAAAATAGAAATATGATTGTCGTTTTCTCACTTTGTGTGTGTGAATAATTTCATTTTATTTCGTCCTCTTATGTAAATATTGTGTATCAAAAGTGAGGGTAAAATATGAATATGATTGTCATTTTCTACAAAAAAAAAAAAAAAGGTAAAATAGTAAAAATAAGGATATGATTATCATTTTCTCAAAAGATATAAAATTACTATTTTACCCTCCTCATGTCAACTTTATGTATAAAAGTGAAGAAGTGAAGGAAAAATAAGAAAAAAAAAGATAAAAAGTTGACAAGGCATCTTTTTTAATAGAATAGATTTACAAAATTATCGAGATAAGTCATGAATGAGAATCAACGATGTGAAATGATCGAAATAATTGAGGTTGTACTATTGCTACTTAGGATCAAACTATATGCGAAATAATTGAGGTTGTATTATTGCTACTTGGACCAAACCATATGTGAAATAATGAGTAAAGAGCCCGCTTTTACTGTTGAGTTTGCTTTTGCTTTGATGGTGCTTGGTTTTATTGTGATTCGACTTGTCTTTTTTTATTTTTTGTGTCGGTAGATTTGTATTGGCTCTGTCTTTTTTTATTTAGTTTTTAAGGAGATTAATTTTTAATTTTAATGATAAGGATAAAATAAAGGGTAAAATGAATAGTATCAGAATTAACTTTTTAGTGTAAAAATATGATTTTTCGTTAAAATAAACAATATCGGATGCTTTTCGTTAAAGTTCCATAGTTTTTAACGTGCCGAAAACACGGTCACTACAAGTAGTGTCATAATATAATTGGTTGACTTTTTTATCAAATTTTCAACTAATTGTATTGTTACACTTGATGTACCCATACCGTATTTCTAGCATACTAAAAAATCTCTCATTTTGAAGTTATTCGCCATTTCATAATTAAAAAAATTGAAGCAATGATCTTTGAATTTTGATCCAATTGATGCTTTGGTTGCTGAACTAAAAATATGAGTATTAATTCATGAAATTATTATAATGTGAAAATTCTTTTGACTAACGAACTTACATTCAAAATAAAGAGTTTGAAAAGTTCAAAGGGGCAGCAAATAAACAAGTCCAGCAACAATAGTCACGAGAAATTCTCAACTCATCAAAGCATATTTATTTATGATTTGTTGTGGGCAGAGAAGTGTCGATTCGGTTCACCATCGCTCCAACGACGGAAGACTCTACCTTCACTTGTAATCATCGGGATCGGGTACTTCTCTTTCTTTCTTCACAGTAATTCTCTGTTAAAAAAAAGTTGAGGCTGCAATGTTTTGTGCTGAATTGTTTTTATGAACAGATTGCAAAGATTTAGAATTGAGGAAGAAATGAAGGGGAAAAAAACCCAGAAACCTTGTGGCCTAAGAAATGTAATCGGAATCGTGGGAAGTTTGAGATTGATGAGTAGCCGAGAAATGGGGTTTTGGGTTATTTAGCTTGATCAAAGTTGGTGCGAGTCAATGTTCTTGTAGTTCCGTAGGTTAAAACCATTATTTCGAGGTCCCGGGTTCAATTCCCCTTTCCCTACTATGGCTTTTATCAGTTTGTGAAATTTATAGGAGTTGATGAGTTTATATCTTCATAGAAAATTGTTTTATGTTGGAATTTTAAGATCCTTATAGACTGCCTTCGTTGATTATTTAAAGGAACTTTAACGAAAAGCACGGTACTGTTTACTTTAACGAAAAACCACATTTTTACACTAAAAAGTTAATCTTGGTACTATTCACTTTACCCTTTATTTTGTCTATAATTAGTTTTCTTTATTTAAAATGATCAAAAGGTGGGAATTTGTTACTCAAAAGTTCAAAACTTTGGGATTTTTGGTGCCATTGAAGTTTAGTTTTGCAGGGTTGCTCTCTCTGCCATTGTACAAACATGTCCATCGAGTTTCGATTAATCTGTCCGTAACTGTTGGATTTGTAGAATTGCTTGGACTAGTTGCTTTCTCTTTGCAAATGGAGCACAGCGTTAAAAAGGACGGGAATCCGGTGAACAAGGGACTGCTGCAGAGTGACGAGTTATATCAGGTTACAACGCCGTTCCCTCAACTTTTGCTTTGCCTGTTTCTGTTTAAAATTGTTAAATCTTGTTTTTTTTCTTTTTTAACAATGTCAATGTGAGTGTGACAGTATATCTTGGAGACCAGTGTATATCCACGTGAACCGGAGCCTCTCAAGGAGCTAAGAGCTGCCACCGCCAGCCACCCGAGGTTATGATCCTTCATATCTTAGCAGAACTTGTTGTAAGATTGCCTGCTTTTTAAGTTCATTAAGCTTCTTGTAGCCAAGCTAGAACTTGGCATACACTTTAGTTGAGTGAGCGAAAACAGTCGAGAATTTCTTGATCAAACTCTCGAGGAGGATTTTTAATTAGCTAGTATGTTTTCAGGGCTGAGATGGCTACTGCACCAGATGCAGGTCAGTTAATGGCCATGCTGTTGAAGCTCGTAGATGCAAAGAAAACGATTGAAGTTGGCGTTTTCACCGGATACTCTCTCCTCCTTACTGCTCTTACAATTCCCGACGATGGCAAGGTCTGTCACTACTAATATCTGAATCTGCTCTTCCTGTCACATTGAGCTCATAATTTGTTGTACTGCAGATTGTAGCCATAGATGTGAATCGTGAGGCGTATGAGCAAATAGGGCTTCCAATCATAAAGAAAGCCGGTGTTGCGCACAAAATCGACTTCATTGAATCCCAGGCCCTACCGGTTCTTGATAAGCTACTAGAAAATGTTAGGATTTTGCGTTTCAAACCATAATCTTCAGCTGAAATAAGAAAAACCATAGTTGTGACCTTTTTCGCTTTCTCGTGGTTTTGTGTGCAGCATGAAAACGAAGGAAGTTTCGACTTTGCTTTCATCGATGCCGACAAGGACAACTACTGGAACTACCATGAGAGGCTAATGAAGCTGTTGAAGGTGGGTGGTTTAGTTGTCTATGATAACACCCTCTGGGGAGGAACGGTTGTAATGCCTGATGAGTTGACTCCAGAGAGCAAGAAACCAAGCAGACCGGCGACCATCGAGTTTAACAAGTTCCTTGCAGCCGATCCTCGTGTCCAGATTTCGCATGCTTCTTTGGGTGATGGGATCACAATCTGTCGTCGTCTTTACTGATTCTGGCTCGAAAGATGTAATCTTACATGTCTAAAGCTCGGGGATTTGGCAATCTCCCTTGACTAATGAAATAATGTATTGTCGCAGTGATCTATGCTTTATCTAAGTGTTGTTAATGAAGCATAAACAACTTCATCTTTGCAGTTACTAATGAAATGGCAAACCGAGGTTCGAAGTTAAACGTAAGCCCGAGTAAATGGACTTGTCATTCATACAGGAGTTCCAAACACGAAACTGAACAAAATGATCAACATTAACGAGCAAAATTTCCCCAAAGTGTTTGGCGTCTCAACCTCCAAGATAAAGGAAGTAAAGTACATCAATTTAATCCAACATACGGGGAAGAAATGCGCTATCAGAATGCTTCCTAACCCTATGTTAACGGCTTTATCATGTAAAGACGTATACTATGAATCAATCTTTGCAATCAAAAACTGTGTCAAGTCGTAGTCTGGACAGCGTTCTTCGCAAATGTTTCAGCAACCAGCAGAGGGAAAGCAATTGTTGCATCGCAATGCACCTGGTTCAACCGAAAAAAAAAGGTGGAGAATAATCAGAATGATATTACAACAGAAACGAGGATGACATATTCAAGAATGCAAAGGATACGAAAGAAAACGCTACAAGGGTTAGGATTAGGTGGATACGAAGTTATGATTAACAATCCGACCAAAAACAAGAGATAAAACGCAATGAGAAAAGTAAATATGGGTTAAATTCAGTAATACCTTGACAGTTTTGGCAGAATCCCGTATTTTTCCCCATGATACAGCCTCGTCAGGACGCGCTCCAGAATCACTCCCATCAAACTCTTGCGCAGTATTGATGAAGACAGCATAATCCGCACCATTACGAAACATATTGGCATTGGAAATGTGATGTTTGGGCATGCCCCCTCCGAGAATGATCATTCCAGTCTTCCTTGGGCTTGCATGGACAGCTTCATCATTCATGGCCCTAATATCTGTTCAAAGGCATGCTATTATGCGATTTGACTTTCCAAGTTGATTATCAGCTGCAGTGACAGTGTAACGAGCAACATACCTTGCACTAAGTCGATGATCAGGCCTGGGCTGCGGAAAGAATGAAAGTACAACATGTCTCCCAGTGAGCCATCCGTTAAACCTGGACAATAAACTGGGATATTGTTCTGGAAAAGAACCGCAAATAGTATTAACTAACAGTGCCATTTAAGTCCTGAAACTGACCACCGAGGCAACACATATTTATTTCTAATCACTCTACTCGTCAAAATACAATTTCAGAAGACGCTGTGTCCAAGCATACTTATTGCTTATCCAACCATATTTAGACTCTAAACCAGTAATTCGTGAGGCAAACATACTATAGAAGCTTAAGAGCTGTGTTAGGTTAGGTTGATTTCTTGCCTTGTATGCCCAATAAAGGTATGAACGTCGATCATTTATTTCCTTCCCCAAGCGTGAAATCAATTTAGACGGAGTCCACAATAAGTTCTGCCAAAAGAAAAGAAAGAATTAGAAAAAACCATATTGATCACAGCCTAATCACCACCCCACACCCCCCAAAAGAACTAACTTGAAAAGAATCATGCCTGCTCAGTTTGGTCCTTCAACATCTGGTCGAAAATTGGTATGATCCAATCCTCAAATTTGCAGTAGTTGTCATTAGGAACAAGCAAATTACCAATACGATTCAAGCCTTTTGACCGTAAAAGTGCTCCCGGTAGAGAGAAATCACCTCTGTAAGTGGGCGCAAGGCATTTAACTAGATCCTCCTCTATACCCCCAGCAGTTGAAACCACAACATCCACCATATGGTGCTCCACCAAGTACCGAATTGTATCTCTAATCCCAGACGAAACCAAATTCGAAGTAAAACCTAGAAACACCTTGCATTTCACCGACTTTCTGTATTTCAAATCCCTCTCCTCCTCATTGCAATCTTCATCTATAGCCTCATCTGCTAGACTCCAATCTAGCTTCAGTGCAACAAAAATAATGATTAGGTCAAAAATAAAAGACAACTAGGTTAGTTTGGTAAGAGAAACTTACCATTTGGTTGACGATTTGAATGGCATCTCCGAGATTGGAGGCTTGGAAGCCGGTGGAGACCATGGAGCTAACGAGGCGAGGGTAGTCTACTCCCTGATTGAAATCATATCCTTCGATTTCAGTCCTTTGGCCATGCAAATCCTCTGACTCTATGAACACTGTAGAGTGCGTGGATGCCAACCGGTCATCTCCCATTGCTTCACTAACTGATTTCAAAATCGTATTTCACTACTACCGCGCTTTCTTTGTAATTTGGACAGCTCTTAGCTCACTCACTCAGTAATCTGAACTCAACACAGTCCAATCTACATTCAGATTAAGCTGGATTACTTGAAATCGTCGAGTTCACAGATTAACATATGCACATTAGTTTGTCTTGGTAGAAAAGTTACAAAATGCTGCAGGCAATCGAATCAATAATCGAATGGTCATCAAACGGGCCCTAAGTTTAATTTAAACTCGCACAAAAGGCGGAATTCGAAGTTAATAATCGAATGGTTATCAAACGGGCGCTAAACTTTCATTATCGAGTAAAAATGTTAAGAAAGCAACGCAGAACGTAATCGAAAACAACGACAGCAACAATTAAGTAAGAATTAAACAAGTAAAACAACATAAAAAATTTCAGTTCAACCAACCAAAGTTCTCACCTTCTTAATCCCATCAACTAAATTTCATATATTTTTGGAAATTAGGAGGAAGGGAAAAAAGCTTACCACCGGAGAGGGAGAGGCAATTCGGGAGCAGAGAAAAATGGCTGCCGCGATGGGTTGTGAAAAGGAAAGCCAACAACCTGGAGAGGGGAGCTGCGTGGCAAAGTTGTAATTAGATTGACTAAAAAGGTTAAAATTAAAATAAGCAAAGTGAAAAAATAATTAAAAATAAAAAGGGCCGTTCCGAGAATCGAACTCGGGACCTCTTGCACCCAAAGCAAGAATCATACCACTAGACCAAACGGCCGATCTTATTATGGTGTTATAATTTAACTTACATATCATATGTTTTTCTCTCTCTCAGCTGATCGCTTTAATCGTCTAGGGTTTTTGTAGACGACAGCTATATAAACGAAATCTTGAGCCGCTTTCTCTCTCACTCAGTCTCTCTCTGCAACTGCAAGAGTAAGTCCTCCGCCATCGCCGAGACCTCTCGAGCTCCGATTCCATTTCTCTCCATCTCCGTGACTCCGATCGCGGTTTTTATCACATCACCTTTGGTCATGGGGTTGAAACTGAGCCGTTGATTTTCTGTGATTATTTTTTTTGCAGCAGAATCCAGGCGCGATGGCTACCGTTCCGGGACAACTGATCTGGGAGATCGTGAAGAAGAACAACTCCTTCTTGGTGAAGGAGTTCGGCCGCGGCAACGCCGGCGTCCGCTTCAGCAAGGAGCCCAACAACCTCTACAACCTCCACTCCTACAAGCATTCCGGTAAATTTTTTTTCTCACTTTCTGTTTGTTTCCCGATAAAATTAGAATAATGTAAAACCCTAGGAAGCCGAATCGTCGTTCTAATTTTTTTTGGCGGGTAATTTTAGGTTTGGCGAACAAGAAGACGGTGACTATTCAGGCTGGAGGGAAAGACCAGTCTGTGGTGCTCGCCACCACCAAGACCAAGAAGCAGAACAAGCCCGCCAGTCTGCTTCACAAGTCTGTCATCAGGAAGGAGTTTCCCCGCGTCGCCAAGGCTGTTACCAATCAGGTAATTAACAATTTGATTAGCATAACTTTTAGGTTCGGATATGGCTGTATGTGTTTAATAGTTAATGTGCTTAATTTCGATAGTTCTTGGTTTAAATCGATGGTAATCGCAATTCCATTGCCATCGTTTTTTATCTGTGTAGGCCGTGTTGTTAATGTGTGAGTTGATTTTTAGCAGTGATGAGCAGCTAACACGTAAGAAGATCCTGCTTTGTGTGGGATTTTCAATGAAATACATTTGTTACGCTTGGCTTCTGAGCACCCTATTTAGCTGATATAATGCATTTTTGGTTCTGGTCTAGTTTTTCGCAGATGGTTATGTATGCCTATATCTGTTTTGTTGAGTGTGTGAGTGAAGATTTGACATGGATTTTGAAGACCCGAACTTTTTAGTAACAACTAATTTTGAATGAAAATTGATCGTAGAGATTGAAGGGAACCTACCTCCCCTTTTCAAAACTGTATTGCTTCCATCTTGTTTTCAGGTTTTGATTCAACTTCGATGACTGTAGTTTTCAATTATCGTTGTATCTTGTTTTCAGGTTTTCATTCAACTTCGATGACTGTAGTTGTAACGTGATGTAGTTTATTTTCTGTTACATTTGATACGCTTTCATTGTTTCTTCCCGTTAAACCTCTCAGTAAAGTATTAACTTTTCCAACTGGTTGAGTGCCCATGTCCTAACTCTTTCTCCACCCCCATCCCCTCAACTCCCCCTCCTTTTCTCCTTCCCTTCCCTCGGCACGCTCCCTGTTCTCTCTGTCTTCCATGTTTCTTAAGCATCTGAATTCTTCTCTTTATGTATGGATAAGTGTCGATGAATTTCAGCACTAACTGAATTGTTCTTTAATTGTGAATTATTCCAGGTTGCGGATAACTTCTACAGACCGGATCTGAAGAAAGCTGCCCTTGCCAGGCTCAGCGCCGTTCACAGGAGCCTCAGGGTTGCCAAGTCTGGTGCGAAGAAGAGGAACAGGCAGGCTGTCAAGACCCCTGGTAGGAAGTGAGGGGAAAATGTGTCATCGTTGTGTTCATTTGCTGTTTTAGCTTCCTCTTCCAGGTCCAAAGAGACATGATTTCCGGTTTTAGATCGTGTTATATTCTCTCTTGAAGAATGTGAAGACTTTAGCCCTTTCACTGAACAAGGGAAGGATCATGTGTTTTGTTTCTGTCGCCAAATTTTGCTGAATATTGATTTCCTAATGCGATGCCCTAAGATGTAGTTTTTAGAAATTACTTCAATCAGAGTTTTTTATCGTTTGACAAACGATAGCGTTAGAATGTTAAATTGTTGGGGAGGGGAATCTTTAACCGATCTACCATAGAATAAAATTGTTTTAAATTGGTTTGAAAATATTTACATTAGTCAGTTTCCTTCCTTACTTTCAAAGTTGAACAAAGGTTGAAACAAGGTTGTTAGGTTTTGGGACAAATTGATTTTTAGGCTCTCGTTAAGATAAAATCAAAGTGACCTAACTGACTCACCGTACCTAATGTTTTTGGATTCATTCGGTTTGGTTTGATTTTATTTTTTTTTTTTTAGGTCAAATGATAAATTTTATTAAATTCTAATAGGAATGGTTACATCTTTTAACAAGTATACTACAACAACAAAGCCTTTTCCCATTAAGTGGGGTTGGCTATATGAATCTTAGAACGTCATTGCGCTCGGTTTTGTGTCATGTCCTCCGTTAGATCCAAGTACTCTAAGTCTTTTCTTAGAGTCTCTTCCAAAGTTTTCTTAGGTCTTCCTCTACCCCTTCGGCCCTGAACCTCTGTCCCGTAGTCACATCTTCGAACCGGAGCGTCAGTAGGCCTTATTTGCACATGTCCAAATCACCGAAACCGATTTTCTCTCATATTTCCTTCAATTTCGGCTACTCCTACTTTACCTCGGATATCCTCATTCTCAATCTTATCCTTTCTCGTGTGCCTACACATCCCACGAAGCATCCTCATCTCTGCCACACTTATTTTGTGTACGTGTTGATACATCTTTAACAAGTATATTAAAAAGAAATTCTGGGTCAAGAGCATCCTATAAGAAAGAATCATCATGCAAGGCGGTATGTGAAGCAACCACATGAGCAGCCATACTCCGCGGGACTAACAGAAACTTCATCTTCTCTAGTAGAGACGCTAAGACCTTAATATCGAATAAATAACAGTCCAAAGTAGCATCCGTAGAAACCTTACCATTGATCATCATAACTAAAGATTGAGCATAGACTTTATTTCAACCTTGGAGCAGCCTTGTTCCCTGCAGAAGATCAACGCAGCACAAACTGCAGCTATTTCCACCATCGCAGCGTTGTTGAAAAAACAGCCTCCCGCCCCTCCCGCCATCTTGGGTATACCTGCAAAGTCTCTCATAACCCATCCTTTTGATATGTATCAGATATTATATGACACAATTCGGTTGTTAAGAGCATCTTCAAAGAAAATGTCAAATTCAAAACATTAAATTAATATTGAATGGTTTATGTGGCAATTTGGCATTTTGTACAATTTTTTGATCCATCCGATATGTTAAATAATAATGTAATCCTAACATTTTTTTAATCATTTTGTGGGGTCCATTTATTAAGGCAACCAATCAAATTCTTAAAATACACAACCATATTTATTATATTTCCATTAAATCTATTAAAAATATATTAAATGGATTTGACAGCATAAGACTTTGCCTTCAATTGACTTAGCGTCACGTAGGAAATTGAAGGCTCAGTTGGAAAGAGTTTGCTGCCAATTTTTACAGTTATATACCTATGTGGCAGTTTTGACATCTCCTTTGGATATGCTCTAAGGACTCGTTTGGAACTTTGGATATACTTTTAAAATGATTAAAACTACTTTTAAAGAAAATGTTTTTCGGTTTCAAAAGCACTTAAAAGTGGTTTCTGCAAGAAGCACTAATTATGTGCTTATTTCAAGAAGCATTTTAACTGTTTTTTTCTTCTGAATTTACTTGCATTTTTATTAAGGATTGGTTCTAAAAATATTTTCACAAACAACGCTTCACTCATTTTAAAAATACACTCAAACGAGCTTTAAATTGAAAAAAAAAACTGGACCAAGCTGAACCGTGCCTGGTTGGTCCGTCCAAGCAGAGTGAAATTCACCATTTGAAAAATTGAAATTTTGACAAAAGAAATGGAAAATTGGAATGAGTAACACGTGCATTGCACGTGAGAGTTATCTCTACCAAATCCCGCTATAAATATCAGAGATGCCCCATTTTGCAACAGTGTAAATTTCCCGCTCTCTCTCCCTCCCATTTCTAGCTCCGGAAACCCTAATTCGAAAAATGGTCCAGAAGCAAGGAGCCTCCGCCGATCCGACCGCCACCGAGCCTAAGAAACGACGTCGCGTCGGCTTCTCCAGCGTCGGTGAGTCCTTCTGACTTCCGTTTCCTCAGTTATGTTGCCGTTGTTTTCAGAATGCACTTCCATAGTTCCTCGTGTTCTTCTCGAATTTCAGTTTTTATTTCTGTTTCTGGTTCCGTTTTCTGAACTCGTTGATTTTGTTTGTTTTCGTTGATTTGGGAGCAGATTCTGGAGTGGAGGCCAAAGATTGCATCAAGATTTACCTGGGTATGATGGGTTTTATGCGCTTTTTTCTTGGGTTTATTGGATTACTCTGTTTGATTATGTCGATTTTAACTTTCAGTTAACTTATTTCTTGATGATTCGGTGTTCGGTATCTTGTTGTGGTTCCGTAAAGTAGTTGACTTGGCAAGAAACAATTTTTTTTCTCCATGGGTGGGAGTTCATCCATTTCAGCTGTTTGTTTATTCCGCAACTGCGGTGATGGAAAACTGGCGGTCTTGATTTTTTACGTTTGGTTATATTGGACTTCAGGTTGGGATGGAAAATAAGCTAGTTACATGTATGGATTGCGATTCGTAGAACGCTCAAATGTTTAGATGGAGGATGGTAGGAATAGATGCAGTTGATTGGTTTACATATTTTTAGATTGGTTGGAAAAGTTTAATTTTTGAGTCTGATAGTAAAGTTTTACTTTTTAACGATATTTTCATCCGTCTTATTTGGTGATAGTTTTTCTTGCTTCACTGGTTTTATTTTAGTAATATCTTAATCTTTACTTTTACATGGATGCTTAACCAATGGCTACAACGATAGTTTCTAGCAAAGAGGAAGTGGGTTCTACAGACAGTTTTTGTATTGAAGCTGTTGACTTGAATAGCTCTTTTGATGATGATGGGAAGATATATGGTTACAAAGGATTGAAGGTAATCTTTATACATTTCAATTGAAGTTTACTTTTGTGGACTTTGCTGCTCCGGTGCAAATAGTGTTAAAAGATATTTAATAGTTTGAATGGAATGATATAGAATGACTTCTTTATTATCTTTCTTTGGATGCAGATTGCCATATGGGTTAGCAGTATTTCGTTTCATGCATATGCTGATATTGCATTTGAGAGCACAACTGATGTAAGTACTCTTGTTCTGTTGCTCTCTCTCTCTCTGCATCGATATATTCTGTCTGCCAAATTCTCTTATTACTTATGCTCCTAGCTTTCTCTTTATCAAGAAAATATTACTGATTGCAATTATTAAATGTTACAAGGGTGGCAAAGGGATCACCGATTTGAAATCAGATCTTCAGGTTTGCGTCAATTCCCAGTTTAAACCATCACTTCCCGTTTAGTATCTGCTGCTAAGTTAGTTGTGTTCTCCAGAAAATTTTTGCTGAGACCCTCATTGAGAGTGAAGAGGAGTTCCTTCAAACTTTTTCAACGCAGAGAAATTTGATTAGGTAATGAAGTTTGCATTCCTTTTATAGATCAAATGTCAAAATCACTTTATGCAATAAGATTTAGATTTTTTTTTTGTTTACTTATTTTCATGAATTCCACATTTAAAACGTCTGCAGATCCATGGTCTCAACTGGGGAGGTGTTACAGCACAAGACCTCTATTGGACAAATAAGTGATTCTTATGGTGGGCTAGGAGCAACCACTTCTGATTTGCAGGTGATTTTGATGTTCCATGCTTTTTGTTTTGCACTATCTAAAACATGATAAATTTTCTTGCATTTTTTAATAACTGTAACCATTTTCAGGTTGTTCGCTTGGTTGTTGGCAAGACAGCTGCTGGACACCTTTACAGTCACTTGATTCCTCTTGTTCTTCTTCTTGTTGATGGTAATTTCTTCACCTACTTTGTGTTATCACAGAACACTGCTATTTTCTTTCGGTTATGGAAAGAGAGGGGAGGGGAGTGCAACACTGCTATTT